GAGCTGAGCCGCTCCTCCTCCTCCTCTCTCCCTCCTCCTCCTCCTCCTCCTCCTCCCCCGCAGTGCCAAAGCCTCTCAGTCACCGAGATGAGCTGATAAAAATGCAGATCGATGGCAGGGCCAGGGCTCAGCTCCGGGAAATCGATGCCGTTCCCATGCCGAGAACTCCCCGGGATTTTATCCAGGCTTAGGGGCTGCAGGGAGCGGGGGGATCCCGTTCCTGCCTCCCTCAGGGGAGGTTCTGATCAAATCTGGCCACAGTCCCCAGCATTTGGGGCAAAGCAGGCAGGGGAAGGATCTGGGAGCTGCTGGTGGATCACAGGGGCTGCCCTGAGCTCCTTGAGGCTCCCCAGATCCAGACTCTGCTCCAGGGATGTGCTGTGGGATGGACAGGATTAGGGAAGGCAGGGATGGCCACGGACCCAAAAAATCCCCCCAAAAATATTCCCAAAATCACCAAAAATCTCTATCAAAACCAGGGGGATCCAGCAGGGTCCTGGATCCCAGCAGGGTCCAAATCCCAGCAGGACCCAGATCCCAGCAGGGTCCTGGATCCCATCAGGGTCCAAATCCCAGCAGGGTCCAAATCCCATCAGGGTCCAGATCCCAGCAGGGTCCTGGATCCCAGCAGGTCCCTCTGGCCCATCCCCATCTCTCCCCTCCTCCATGGCTCCCCCAGGGCCAGGGATGCCTGGCCTGGGTTGGGGTGAGTGACACCCACGGGATGGAGCAGGAGGGGAGGAGCATCCCCAGCACCCAAATCCTCTCATCCCAGTGCTGGAACGCTTCCCCTTCCCCCTTCCAGAGGGGGACAGCGCTGTCCCCCTGCAGGGGGGACCCCCATCCTGCCCAGGGGATCCCTGTGTCCCCCACCCTGCTCTGGGCTGCAGCTCCAGCCCTGTTCCAGCATCCCAGGCTGCTCCTGCCCTGCCAGGACACGCTGTGCCAGGCCGGTGCCAAGCTCTCTCCATCACTGCCTGGTCCAAGCTCTCTCTCTCCATCACTGCCTGGTCCAAGCTCTCTCTCTCCATCACTGCCTGCTTTGTCTCCCCGCCGTGCCCTGGTGGACAGAGGCGTTCCTGGAAGCACCTTGGCAGCCAGGCTGGGCTGGGATCCTGCTCCAGGACCAGCAGGGCTGTGTCTGCCCCGGGCCTGGCGGGACACCAGGCGCCCTGGGGACGAGGTTCCCTCCCTGCTGCTCTCAGGGAATGTTCCTGACGCCCCTGTCCTGCACAGCTCTGCAGAATCCGTGTGTGTTTGCTCCATCCCCTGGCAGCAGCTCTGGTTCCAGCCCCCTCCTCTCCTGGAGGAGCCTTGGGGGCATCCCTGACCTGGAGAGGAGAGGATCCCATGGATGAAGCAGCTCCGGCAGGGAGCAGGAGACAAAGCATCCCCCAGCTCTGCCCTGCCCTGAGCCCATCCCCATCCCTCTGGAACACCCCCAGCACCCCCAGGGAGTGCCCAGCTCCATCCAGGGAGTGCCCAGCTCCATCCAGGGAGTGCCCAGCTCCATCCAGGAGTTCCCTCATCCCTCAGTCCTTGGGAAGGCTCAGCAGCTGCTGGGGACTCATGGCCCAGCCCCAGCAGTGGCTCAGATCTGGATCCCAGTGTGGGATGCTCCAGGCAGGGATGAAGGAATGAAAGGAGAGCGTTACAAAACAGCCCTTGGAGCAGGGAAGGGAATTTGGAAGGGAATTTGGCCGGCACCCGCTCGCCCTCCCAGGCCTTAATCCCTTCGTTAGCACAGCCCGGCACAATTAAAGACAAACTCCCAGCCCTGCAATGCAGAGGGGCTGCGGGAGATCCCGGGAATTCAGGGAATTCAGGCACCGGAGTCTCCGGCCTGAGGAGCCCCGAGGAGCCCTGAGGAGCCCGGGCAGCTCCACGGGGCCGATCCAGGCATTTTCCAGCTGAATTCCCCCAGCCAAGAGCTCTCCCAGGCCAGAGGATCCCTCATCCCCCTGGGCTGGGCCAGCCCCAAGGGCAGCGGGAAGGTGGGGACGGCGAGGCTGGGATGGCAAAGCCACAACACGGGGACACCTCCAAGGGAGCTGTGGGATCATGGAATGGGCTCAGGGACAGCTCCCACTGCCCCAGGCTGCTCCAAGCCCCGGCCAGCCCGGCCTCCAGAGCCATTCCAGGCTGGAAGAGCATCCAGGAGCTCCTGCCCGGCCTCCAGAGCCTTTCCAGGCTGGAAGAGCATCCAGGAGCTCCTGCCCGGCCTCCAGAGCCATTCCAGGCTGGAAGAGCATCCAGGAGCTCCAGCCCGGCCTCCAGAGCCTTTCCAGGCTGGAAGAGCATCCAGGAGCTCCTGCCCGGCCTCTTTGGGAGCTTCCAGGATTCTGCTCCTCTCCATGACCCCAAAGCTGTGGCTCTCCTGTGGGTTCAGGGCTCTCTGCTCCAAACCATTCCCAAGGACTGGGGAATGCCAGCAGAAGCTTCCAAAGAAACGTTTGGATTCCAAAAATCCTCCCTGAAGGAGGCTCTGCCTGGGCGGTTGGGATGTAGAGACCTGGTGGGCACCAAGGAAGGGAAAGCCACGCAAGGGCTTGGGGAGATGTGAAAATCCATGGATTCAGCTGTGCTGCCCAGTGCTGGGAGCTTCCCAGGCTGCAGCTCTGCACCTCAGGCTCATCCCAGCTCCCCAGCAGCACCCTGCCCTGCCCACACCACAGAATCCTTCAGCAGGTGCCCGTGGAAGGATCTGGTGGGTCCCTCCCTCGGGATCCCGGGTGGTTTCCAGACAGACTCAACTCCAGGCACGGCTGGGATGGGAAAGGGAATGGGAACGGGCAGGTCCTGTCCCACCAGCCAGGCACGACTGGGATCAACAATTCCAGACCCACTCCAGATCCCTCTTTTGGGTCCCCAGAGCTCTTCCCCGCAGGTTCCAGCAGGGAACAGCCTCCAGCTCCCCTTTAATCCCCGTTTTCCATCCCTGCCCCCACGCCCTGGAGCTCTCCCACCCCGCCATTCCCTCTCCATCCTCGGTCATTCCTTTAATCCCGGGTTTAGCGCCCCGCCCCGGGCTGCAGCTCAGCCTGATGGCCCTGGGCTCCCTCCGGGGAGCTCCGATCCATCAATTCCACTTTGTGGGGAGCGCTCGGAGGCAGCGCAGCTCCAGCCGGGCAGCGCTTCCTTGGGAGCAGCCGCTCCCAGAGCTCGGCTCGGCATTTACCGGCGGCACTCGGCGCTTGCAGGGAGCTCAGAGCCGCCAGCCCGAGGTGTCACCGCTGCTGTCACCCGCTGCTGTCACCCGCTGCTGTCACCCGCTGCTGTCACCCGCTGCTGTCACCGTGTCAGGCGCCGGGGGAGGCGCGGAGCTCACGAACCGCGGCTGCCGCTCCCAGCTCCGGCTTTTCCGGCATCCACCCACGGCCCTGCTGCTGCTCCAGCCCCAGCCCGGCCTGCCCGGGCTGCCCACGGCCCGCTCCGTCCCGCTGAGCCCCGGGAACGCTGCCCCGGCCCCGGGAGCAGCGAGCAGATGCCGCCGGCAGCGGGAGCGCCCGGCCGGGGCCAGCGGCAACAGGTGGATGGAGCCTTGGGGACAGCAGGCGCTGCTGGGTGGCCCTGGAGCTGTCCCAGGTGATGGAATCAGGGAATTGTTTACGTTGGAAAAGTCCCCCGAGGTCGCTGAGCCCGTTGCCGGCATTACCCAGGCCAGCGCTGGTCCCCGTCCCCAAGTGCCACATCCACGGTTTGAAATGGCCACGGGGATGGGGACGCCCCCAGTGCCGCCGTGCCGGTGCTTGAGCAGCTTCTCTGTGGAGAAATTGCCCCAATCTCCACCCTAAACCCTGCGTGGCACAGCCTGAGGCCCTGTCCTCGTCCTTCCCGGGGGCATTTGCAGCCCGGGGGTTCCACCCGCGCCGCTCTCAGGGACGATCCCACCTCCTTCCCTTCCCCTCCTGGCACAGGAACCGTGGGGAGAGACCCCGAACAGATCCCAGGCATCCTCCCAGGGCTGCTCAGGGAAAAACAGAGCCTCACCCAAGGACCTGGGCACTGCCAGCAGCGCTGGGGCTGCGCTGCCACAGCAACCGGGCAGATCCTGCTCCCACCGCCTCCCTCGGCCGGGAAAACCATCCCCGGCTCCTGTCCCACGCACGGCCCAGCCCGGGCACCGCCGGAGCCACCGCGAGCATCGCCCCGTCCCCAGCCGAGCCGGGAGGAGGCAGAACCCCGGCAACGGCAGAAAGGAGGGGACGGCAGCCGGGTCCCGGGAGCCCCCAAAGCGCCTCAATGCCACCGCTGGCCCTGCTGGAGCCTCAGCTCATGTTCAACACGAGGCTCTGCACCAAAAGCTGCCCCCAGCCGGCCCAGACTTCCCCAGTTCCCCCCGCCACTCCCCGGCACTCCCAGAGAGCTCCCGCAGCTCTTCCCGAGGGGCTGGGAGTGGAACGGCCCCGGCTCCTCCGGGGCTCTGCCCCTTGTCCCGGGGTTCTGCGGGACCCCCCCGGCTCCCGCACCGACCCCCGGCTCCAGCAGGGACCCAGCGGCTCCGGTTCATCCCAAACTTTCCCGAAGCCGCCTCCCCCACCGTCTCCCAGACCGGGGTGGGGACCTCAAAACCCCTCAGCCCTCGGGGGCTTCGGCAGCCGCCCCTTGGCTCCCCGACAGCAGAACCCCAAAACCAGCGGCTTTGCAGCAGCTGCGGGAATTCCTTGTTTTCCACTTCTTCTTCCCCGAAACGCCCATCCCAGATTTTATCGAACAGCGATATTCCTTCCAATATTCCCCTTTTTTCCCCCTCTCCCCCACCCCAGGCTGTCACAGACCCCCGACCCCCGGGGATACCGCACCTCTCGGGACCCCCCATGCCCACAGGGAGCCCACCCGGGCACCGGGAGCGGCACCGGGAGCGGCACCGGGAGCGGATCCCCCCGCATCCCGCACCGCCCCTGCGGAGCCGCGGCCGGGCGGTGCCCGGTGCAGCCGCGGGGCTCCGCCACCAAACTTTGCCGGTTCCCCCCGGTTCCCCCCGGTTCCTCCCCGCTCACCTGCGCTCCGGGCGGCGGGCGGGGGCCGCGCCCGCCCCGCCGCTCCCCGAGCCCATCCGGACCGGCCCCGCCGCCGCTCCACGGCGCAGCCTGCCCGGCCCGGGAGCGGAGCCGCCGCCGGCGCTTGCGGGGCCGGGGTTTGAATTCCTCCGAGCGGCCCTGATTGGGCTGCGGAACGGGGGGGGGGGAGCTGCGATCGGGGGGGCGGAGTGAGGATACGGGGTGGGGAGGGATGCGTGGGGTGCGGGGATGCGGAGGGTGGGGAGGGATGCGGGGGATGCGAGGAGGGATGGAGGATGCGGGAGATGGAGGATGCGGGGGTGTGGTACCCGGCGCTGGGGGGGATGCAGCGGCTGCGAGGAGGCGGGAGGGGGTGGGAAGCGTGCGGGGCTGCGGGGGGGATGCGGAAAGGGGTGCGGGATGTGGGGCGGGGGGAGGTTGGAGGGGGATACAGGTGGAGCGGGGGGATGCAGGGATGTGGCTCCAGGGGGGACTTTAGGGGTGCAGGGATGTGGTACCTTGGAGGCATTTTAGGGATGCAGGGGATGTGGTTCCTGGGGGGATTTCAGGGGTGTGATACCTTGGAGGCATTTTAGGGATGCAGGGATGTGGTACCTTGGAGGCATTTTAGGGGTGCAGGGATGTGGTATCCTGGGGGAATTTCGGGGTTGTGATACCTTGGGGGGATTTTAGGGATGTGGTTCCTGGGGGGATTTTAGGGATGTGGTAACCTGGGGGATTTAGGGTTGCAGGGATGTGGTATCCAGGGGAAATTTCGGGGATGTGATACCTTGAGGGGATTTTAGGGATGCAGTCCCTGGGGGATTTCAGGGATGTGGTCCATAGAGGCATTTTAGGGATGCAGGGATGTGGTTCCTGGGGGGATTTTAGGAATGTGGTACCTAGGGGGGATTTTAGGGATGTGGTAACCTGGGGGATTTTAGGGATGTGGTAACCTGGGGGGATTTTAGGGATGTAGTTCCTGGAGGCATTTTAGGGATGCAGGGATGTTGTTCCTGGGGGATTTCAGGGATGTGGCTCCTGGAGGATTTCAGGGATATGGTTCCTGGGGGGATTTTAGGTATGTGATACCTTGGGGGGATTTTAGGGATGTTGTTCCTGGTGGGGTTTCAGGGATGTGGTACCTTGGGGGGATTTTAGGGATGTGATACCTTGGGGGGGTTTCAGGGATGTTGTTCCTGGGGGATTTCAGGGATGTGGTACCTTGGGGGGGTTTCAGGGATGTGGTACCTTGGGGGGGTTTCAGGGATGTGGTTCCTGGGGGATTTCAGGGATGTTGTTCCTGGTGGGGTTTCAGGGATGTGGTTCCTGGGGGATTTCAGGGATGTGGTACCTTGGGGGGTTTCAGGGATGTGGTTCCTGGGGGATTTTAGGGATGTGGTACCTTGGGGGGTTTCAGGGGTGTCCCTGGGGGTGCAGGGGTTGTGCTGTGTGTGGGGCAGTGTGAGGAATGTGCTGGACACGCCCGGGGAGGTGCCAGCACCGGGCCCTGGGAGCAGGGACAGGGGCTGCAGTGGGTGTGGTCCTGCAGGAGGACCCTGGGGATGCAGGGAGGAGCAGAGCCATGGGAAGGCTGTGAAAATACGGGACTGGGGGGCCAAGGTGGCTGCAGGGGCATCCATGGGGATGTGGGGGTGGCAGGAAGCCTTGGAGCAGCCCCATGCTGGGACAGGCAGGAGGCATCCAGGCCCCACGGGGGTTTTTTGGCCACGATCCCTTCCAAATGCCAGCTTGGAATTCCAGGATTGCTGCTGCTGGTGCTCATCCCATCCTGCCGAGGGTCCCTGGGATGCTCCCGTGGGACAGGGCCCTGGTGATGGAGCTGCTGCTCCTCCCCAGCCAGGAGCTCCCCTCAGAGCATCCCTGCAGCCGAGCCCATCCCTGCTGCTGCACCATTCCTGGCTGGATCCGGCCAGAGCAGGGGGTGACTCTGTTTTCCCTCCAGGCCTTGTCCCCAGTCCCTCCCCAGCTCTCCTGGAGCCCCTTCAGGCCCTGCAAGGGGCTCTGAGCTCTCCCTGGACCCTTCCTTTCCCCAGCTGAGCGCCCCCAGCTCTCCCAGAGCAGAGATGCCCCATCCCACACGGAATCCCTTAGGCTGGAGATGGAAGAGGCGCCCGCTGGGGTGGCACAGACCTTGGGAGCAGCTGGGAGCAAGGCTGAGCTCTGCCAGGGCTCCCACACCTGGGCATTCCACAGAAAATTCCACTCATTCCCTTAAAATTATCAGCCCTTGCTGTGGGCACAACGGAGTCACACAGACCCGAGGAGGCTGGCAGGAGGGGAGAAAAAAAAAATAAAAAAAGGAAAAAAAAAAACGCCTGGAAAAGTGTTTCTGTGCACGGCTTCGGTGTCTCCATGGCTACGGGAGCTCCTGGCAGACGTTCCCGGGGAACTCAGACGTGCCGGTGCCAATGGAGACCGCGGGGCTCATCCTCGCCAGGGCAGGTCCCGCTCACATCCCCTGGATCCAAACGAACGCCAGAAGGAGAGAGCGAGAGCGAGAGAGAGCCCGGCCCAGGCCGGGAGGGATGGAGGGAGCCGCGGGTGCAGCGCCCGGCACCTCCCGAAGGAAAAATGAGGCTGTGACACCGGGAAATGTGAGGCTGTGACACCGGGAAATGTGAGGCTGTGACACCGGGAAATGTGAGGCTGTGATCCCGGGAAAAATGAGGCTGTGACACCGGGAAATGTGAGGCTGTGACACCGGGAAAAATGAGGCTGTGACACCGGGAAAACTGAGGCTGTGATCCCGGGAAAAATGAGGCTGTGACACCGGGAAAAGTGAGGCTGTGATCCTGGGAAAACTGAGGCTGTGATCCCGGGAAAACTGAGGCTGTGATCCTGGGAAAAATGAGGCTGTGATCCCGGGAAATCTGAGACTGTGATCCCAAGGAAATCTGAGGCTGTGATCCTGGGAAAGCTGAGGCTGTGATCCCGGGAATGCTGAGGCTGTGATCCTGGGAAATCTGAGGCTGTGATCCCGGGAATGCTGAGGCTGTGATCCCGGGAAAACGGAGCCTGTATTCCCGGCAAAAATGAGGCTGTGTTCCTGGGAAATCTGAGGCTGTGATCCCGGGAAAACTCAGCGGTTGTTCCCGGGAAATCTGACCCTCAATTCCCAGGGAAAGCCGAACCTCTCTCAGTTCCATGGAATCCTGAGCCTCTCTCAATTCCCAGGGAATGCTGAAGCTCTCTCATTTCCCATGGAATCCTGAGCCTCTCTCAGTCCCAGGGAATGCTGAGCCTCTCTCATTTCCCAGGGAATCCTGAGCCTCTCTCAGTTCCATGGAATCCTGAGCCTCTCCCAATCCCATGGAATCCTGAGCCTCTCCCAATCCCATGGAATCCTGAGCCTCTCTCAATCCCATGGAATCCTGAGCCTCTCTCAGTTCCATGGAATCCTGAGCCTCTCTCAGTCCCAGGGAAGCTCCGGGCAGGGCTCACAGACCCCGCTGCCATCAGAGCCTGCCTGGGATGTTTGGATCCCTCCTTTCCCAGAGCAAACCTCGCTGGCAGCAAGGATCCATCAAAATCACGGTGGATTTTCAGGGTATTTTAAGAAAATGGTTTCGTGAAGTTTCTGCTGCCTTTGCGTTTAAAAAGGGAGGTATTTTTGGAAGTTTCTCCTTTCCCGTTTCAAAATCTATGTAAATCCTGTCAGATAGTCCCAGTTCCCAATTAGCAGCACTGCAGCAGCCAAGGGAAAATGAATTAAAGCTGGTTTAAAAAGCACCTCAGCTGAAAACATCCCAGGGAAAGGCGAGATGGAGATCAAGGACAGGATAAAATCAATGGATCCATCCCTCAGCCCGTGCTCATCTCCCCTCCCGAGGGCTGCTTTGAACTCCAGCCCTTCCAAACCACCCTGGAACCGGGATGGCTGTTAAGGGATGGCACAGAGGGGTTGGATCCCATCCCCCTGGGGCATTCCCGGGGTTTTCCAGCCCCGCAGGGACATTCCCCAGAGCTCTGTGTGCCCCTTTGGTGACAGCCACCCTTGGTTGTTCAGTGCCAGCTGCCCCATCCCCTCTGGAGCAGGGATGCTGTGCCAGGATCCTGCTCCTGTTGGGTGTCCAGCTGCTCCCAGGGGATCTTTGGAAGCTTTTTCCTGCAGCCCCAGCCCAGCCCTCGGCGCTGGCGTTCGGGATTTTCCTGCTGCTGTTCCCGGCTCCTGAGCCAGGGAATCGGGACTGGCTCAGGAGGACCTGAAACGCCTCCAGTCCCACCCCCTTCCCACCTTCCCCGGCTGCTCCAGCCCCATCCAACACTTGGACACCTCCAGGGATGGGGCAGCCACGGGCAGAACCTTCCCAAGTGGAATTTCCTCCCCGTGGGGAGAAAATTAGGCTTAGAAACTCTCTAAGCCTTTGCCTTAATCCAGCTTTATTTATTTCTTTGAATTGGCAGGAAGAGTCAGAGGCAGAAGGATCCCTCAGTAACTCATCCCTCCACCCAGGCTGACAAAGCCCCCGCTCCTTCCAGCAGCTCCAGGGACAACTCACAGCTCTTGGAGCTGATCTGAGACAGGAGAAGAATCATTTTGGAATCATTCACCACAAAAAAAAAAAAACAAAAAAAAAATAAAAATCAAACCAAAACCATCTCTGAGGCTTTGGCAGAGGAGCTGAGCTCTGGAGAGGCAGCACAGGCGGCTGCTGCTCCATGGATCTGTCCCAGCTGCCTTCCCAGATGAAAAACACCTCATTCAAAAAATCCTCCCCCCTCTAATGAATTGTTCCTAAACGAGCTTGGTGCTCGGGGCTTGGCTCAGAGCTGTCATTTGGCAGGGATGCTTTGTGTGCTCAAGGCTGGAAAGAAGAGCCCCAGTGCCAGAAAGGCCCAGGGAGGACAATTTCACCTGGCAGCAGGGGCTGCATCCCTAAAAAATGCATTGGAGGGAGGAGGAGAGGAGCAAAGAGCACTGAGGGACCACTGGGGACACCCTGATCGTCCCATCCCATCAAATCCAGCACTGAAGTGGGAAAATCCTGAACAAACCCCTCAGGGCAGGGCTGGGTGTGCAAACTCCAGCACTGCAGGATCTGGGAAAAGCCCCAAATACCCCGGGGTGAC